CATATTTTTATATTATGTTGTAATCGTTCTTCATTTTCAGCTATCAGTATTATGTCATCGGCAAATGCTCCCTCAGCTATCTCTACTCTTTGCATATTTTTGTATCCAATGCACATTTTTTTGCTATTTCTATCACATTCCTTGATGATGTCGTCCATGAAAATGTTAAAAAGCATTGGGCTCAATGATCCACCTTGTCTCAAACCCTCTTTTGTTTTGAAACCTTCTGATTTCATGTTGTTCTTGATAACATAATTTCTATTATTTCTATATATGTTTTTAATCATATTTATGGTTTTTTCATCGAAATTTCAATTTTTCAGACTGTCCCATAATTCTGTTCTTGGTACCTTGTCGAAAGCTTTTTCTAGGTCTATGAATGCAGAAAAGATATAAAACTAAAAAATAATTTAAACTTCTGTGGCTTCTACCAAACCTGACTGATACCCAGATCCTACCGAATTATTTTTCAGTTTCTAGTTTATGATCTTTATGCAACGGCCATACCACGTTGAAAAGTGCCAGTTCTCGTCCGATCACTGAAGCCAAGCAATGTCGGGCGCGGTTAGTACTTGGATGGCTGATCGTTTGGGAACAGCGCGTTTCGTTGTTTTTACGTACCTCAGCCTACACGTAGACAGATCACTTTCTTTACTTTACTTACTTTTTATACAATTGCTGCAATTTATTTTTTATATTTGCGAAATCTGGACGATGAATAGGATCTTCTGCCCAACATTTCATCATAAGTTGTTCCAATTCATCGTGTTCACAAACTGCATCGTCTCCTAAATGTGGTCTGAAAGCTTTTCCATTATTAGCAATTGGACCTTTTTTCACTCTTTCCACTTTTTCTGAAAAGAAAAGGTGAAGAAAATATAATCAACATTCATGAAAATTGTAAACTAAAAAATTGCTGATACAGCGACACAGCTGTACTCGAGGCAGTTTTTTCACATAACTCTTGCTGGATCACAATTATAATTGTTATTTTGTATTTTCGAAATTTTTGGATAGTACTGGGTCATGGACTAAAAAACGAAGGTAATTAGTGCATATTCTCATCATTATGTTTCCATCATTTGTCGGTCTTTTTTAATAGTGACGACAATTTTTTTTGAGGAAGACAATCTTTCGAAGAAAGTTTTTTTTTGGCCTGGATGGTTACAGGTTACTCATCCCCCGACCCTGGGAGAGCGGGGTGGAAGTGTCCTTGATGATCTTTCATCTTCTACGGCCAAGGAGTTTTGAGTTTGCGGCAAGTGTTTGCAGGCGAACTTATAACATGCCAAGGCCGCTTCATACGTCATTGGTAAAAACTTCAAGGACGAATTGATCGACCATGCTTTCCTGCAGAAACCATGGACAGGAAATACAGGCCGAGTAACCGGACTGGGCAATACACCGTTGGGCTGTATCTACTGAACCTGCTTGTTCAGACCATAGATATATTCTTTTCAATTTTGAAACAGATCTGAGACTTGTAGTAGAATATCGTGACTCAAAATCTACTGATTGGAATGGTTATAAAAACTCTCTTCTATCTGACTTTTAGAACGGATTCATTAATATTCACAGTAGCGAAGCAATTGCGCGGATAAAATGAGATAACCACAACTCATGTTGGTGGAACAAAAGCCTGGAAAAACAAAGAAAAGAAGTTCGACGATCATTCAATCGAGCTAAAGAGTCAGGTAGCTGGATGAAACCCTCTAACGACATACAACAAATAGATAAGAAAGACAAAATGGGAGTCTTGTAGGAAGTTCTGTGAGAGTATCTCTGATTTACCTCGCAGCACAAGAATTAACAAGATGCTCTCTAGAGAGCCGACTACTGAAATTGGGTCGCTCAAACTACTCGATGGAACATTCACGACCTCTAGTAAAGAAACGTTAGAGCTTTTGATAGAAATCCACTTTCCTGGAAATCTGACTCTTGATAACAACAGACCTACCATCTTCGAGGGCGCTAAACGCCCAAATAAAATCGATTGGGAGGTTGTCAAGAAGGTTATCACAGCACCGGCAGTTGAATGGGCTATCAAGTCGTTTCAGCCCTTCAAATCTCCTGAAGAGGATGGTATATTTCCAGCTCTTCTTCAAAACGCACTGGAAATAATTTTACCTATTCCCATAAAATTGTATAGGGCTAGTCTGCCGTGAAAATATATACCACCCAGTTGGTTGGCAGTAAGAGTAGTATATATACCTGAAGTGGGTCGAAAAGACCCACACCCTAAATCGGTACGACCAATCAGTCTCACATCTTTCCTGTTGAAAGGACTTGAGGGGATACTGGAAAGGTATAGAATCGACCATAACTGGCTGAATCTATGCCATGCTGGTGAACAGAATTGCCACTACGACTGAAACTGCAACAAAACTGTTATAATCTCCTTCACAAGGAGAAGAAAATTGGACGACTCAAAGCCACTTTTTCTCAATGGTGAGGTAATACTATTTGGAAGGTAGGTTGTAACGGAACAATATACATCTCGGCATCATTTATAATCTACCAACAATTATTATAGAACTCTAACCAGAATTGGAAGGGTTGCGCCTCTCGCCTATAGATGTCAGTAGGAGAATCAAAACTCTGAAAAAACTGTGTGCTTTGATCAGGAACGAGATTAGGAATTCTTGTGATCCATTGAATATTTCATGTTAGAAGCCTCAGGGTGTGTAAACCTAGATATTTTTTTTAAAATATTACGTTGTTACCTGGTTCTAGGTGAGTCTAGTCGGTTTAATTATTGTTCGATTCTATTAACTGAAAATTTGATTGTTCTAGCTCTGTTATATTCAAGCAACCAAGAAATAAACTTTGTTTTGTGAACCTCTCAACTCTGTTATCTCTCTGTGAACCCACCTACAACCTAAACCCAGCGGGAATAAAAGAAGAGCCTTCTTTTAAAGTTCCTCTACAACTTGGCGCCCAACGTGGGGCCGAGAGACTTGAGAGGGTACAGTGTTTTCAAGGACACTTCGGCACACACCGCAATGGCAGAACGAGAACAGCAGAAAGAAGGCATGATTAGAAACTACCCTTTGAGAAATAGAATGCAATCAGTGCAAACAATTAACACAATTACACAAAGTGTTAGTAGAAGTAATCCAGAGAATGATATGAAAACCACGGGAACCATTCCAAAAAACTAGCAGGCATGTGGTAATGTAGATGGCCAAAAAACACCAGTTACTTCAAGAAACTCATGTAGGAGACGGTTTTCTTTGTCAAACAATTTTCTCCAACATGTTAACCAAGTTCAATCAAGAGAAAAAGAAGATTTAACAAGAGATATAAGTGAAATAGGTATTTGCAGTGATCCACCTCTAGCTAACGTTAGTAATAGTATTTTTAAAGCAATCAGTCAACAGAATGTGGGTAATAATAATAATAACGCGAGTGCAGAATAATTTTTGCTTCAAAATCAGACTAGGTATAATGATAATGAAAATTGGCCACTAACAACACAAGTTCATACCTCAAATCATGTATATGGAAGCACAAATGGATCTGCTTACACCACAAATGCTAATACACTGAATACACAGCAAAACGAACAAGTAATAAATAGAACTCTTCCTATCTGGAGAAATGATAATGTTAATTTTGAAAATAAGAGCAGGAAGGTACCAACTTTTATCGTAAAAAATTCACAAAATGGTCTTGAAAACGTTTTTTATATGAATCAAGGGGTAAATGCATTGGCATACACTGCTCCACATATGGCGAGGAGTCAAGAACATGCCAATAATGAGGATATCCAAGTGATGAGAAATGAATACTATAGATACAAGGAACCACATTGTGGTGCAAATGCACATGCATTTACTGTTAATAACAATAGGGTAAATTTTCCTACCTTGAGTACAAACATGCCACAAAATAATCAGTATAATAATGTAGGAGGCAAAAATAAGAAACATCCCAATGATTTCGGTTTTGTTAATTGTCTAGCGATAAATAATAGCCCATTATTAACCGAAAACAGTCGGCAGATTTACACTGCTCAGCGACCGTCAAGTACCACACATCCAGCTGATAATGAGGCTAATATTTTTCGTACAAATTATATACATTCATATAATAACCAATATTCTGGTAATGAAAATAAGGCTTATGTGACTGAACAAATAGATTTATCCTTTATAGTCAATCAAGTGATTGAAAAAGTGCAATCTTTGAATTATACAGGTATGGTTAGAAATTTAAACAATCTGGAGGCGAATAGGCGTTTACCCATTTTCGATAATTCGGAAAATCCTGCACCAATGGAGTTTTTAGAGCAAATTGAATATGAGTTTTTTATTTCAATTTAGAAAATAAAGTTTCGAGATCCAACAACTCATCATCAGAGACAAACCGGGAAAGGGTACATTTTCTGAGCGGAAATAATCAAATCTCAAGTTTCAATCAACAACCTTCGGAAACTGATCGCGAAAAAAATCGTGTAAACACTTTTTCGAAAGAAAGGCAATATCCTAGGAAAGAATTTTCTCGACAATTCGAACCAAAAGGCGTGTCAATAATAGAGGTTGCAAAAAATGAAAATGACTGTTCGGGAAACGAGTCAGGGCCTCTCGGTCTGTGAGTCCGGATCAGGAGGCGGGTCAGATAAGGAATAGGGCCGAATCGTGTCTAAATAATCCTAGGGATGATCTATTAATGGACTGTGATTTTGAATTTGATCAAGAAACTGTAAACTCGCTGTCACCTATAATCTCATTAAAAATGTTTCATTACAATTTTCCTGCTTTAATCGATACCGGTAGTGAAATATGCGCTATCAGTTATGAGGTTTGGTCACAGCTGGGAGAGTATCATGAACAAATTCCAACCTTTCCTTGCACTGGAGTGAAAGTCACGGGGGCATTCAAAAATAAACAACGACGAATCAATCAACAGTCGTTAATTTCTTGTTCGATATTGAACTGTTCATTTTTTCACGAGTTTTTATTAATACTGGACCTAGCTCATCCAGTTATCTTAGGATCAGACTCACTTAGGTTGTTCAAGACTAAAATAGACTTATCAGAAAATTTGGTTATGTTTAATATAGATGGCAAGTTCGTGATAGTTCCGGAAGAAAAAACAGTGTGTGAATTAGTCGTTCTAGAATCACCGGAAATGAAGCCTATCGCTAGCAAAAATATATACCGATTGAGTTATATTAAAGAAACTAGTTTTCCCAAAATATCTGAGGTGGAAGACATGGTTGCGAAATGTAAAATTTCAGTAGATCAGCAAAAAATATTCAAGGATATGTTATTAGAATTTCAGGAAATTTTTTCTGAAGTACCTGGTCGTACACATGAATACGAACATGTTATTAAGCTAAAGGATAATGAAGAATTCTGTCAGCCACCAAAACGCGGTTAGTGAAAAATTAGAGATGATGGAAGAATGGGGTGTGATCAAGCGCACGGCAACTTCATATATTTCACCTATCATGACAAAAGTTAAAAAAGATAATTCGGTTCGGATTTGTTTAGATGCACGAAATTTAAACCGAGTTATGGAACGTGAATATGAAAATCCGCGGTCTATAGAAGAGATAATGCGTACTTTGGCAAAAGTTTCCTATATGTCTTCTATCGATTTTACTCATGGCTATTGGCAGATCCCACTTTCCCCTGATTCACAACAATATACAGGGTTTAAATTTAATGGAAGAACGTATTGTTTTTGTGTATTACCCTTCGGGCTGAGTTCAAGTGTTAGTACCTTTACACGTTGTCTCTCGAAAATTTTTGATTCAGAATTTGAAGATTTTGTTACAATCTACGTGGATGACGTGTTAATAATTTCCCATAGTTTTGATTCTCACTTAAGTCATCTCAGAAAAGTT